CTGGCGCCCGGGCCGGCCCGCGCCTTTGCAGCGTGCTTCATGCATCCGGAGCCCGCCCCGCCCCCGAGCAGCAGCAGCCCGGAGCTTCCCCTCAGCGGCAGCCGCCGGAGCCGCCGCCGGAGCGGGGACGGGGAGCCCCCAGGGTCGCCGCCACCGCCCGCCGTCACTTACCCGGACTGGATCGGCCAGAGTTACTCCAAGGTGATGAGCCTCAACGAGCACTCGATGCAGGCGCTGTCCTGGCGCAAACTCTACTTGAGCCGCGCCAAGCTCAAAGCTTCCAGCCGAACCTCGGCTCTGCTCTCCGGCTTCGCCATGGTGAGCTCGGGCCGCCCTGCCCTGCCCCCCCTCCCGTCCTGGCCGCTCCGGCCCGCAGCCCCGACGGGGCCCACAGGGGTGACGGGGAGAGCTGGGAGAATGCTGTCGCGGACGCCAGAGGGGCTAAGACGTGAGGAGAGGTGGGCGACAAGTGACACCCTGTGTGGGCGATGGGGTGTCATACAAATGTCCAGGGCTAGAGGGACTCGAGGGCCTTCAGACGGGCAAGCTTGATGCGGCAAGGAGGGAGAAACAGCAGGATCCTCGAAGTAGATCTGTAACAACCCGGTCCCTCATTTGTTCCAACCCGGGGAAAGGAAGGACGTAAGGGATCTGATCTCCTTGGGAGCAGGTGTCAGGAAGTAGGAAGGAGGAGACGGACCCCTGAGCTGGCTCTTGTGCCCCCACACTTGAGGCCAGAGATATTGGCGGCGTTCTCTTATCACCCAGTAGAGGGGATTTCCTGACACCCTTACTTTCCTACCGTATTTTCCGAGAGCCTCAGCCTGGGGGTTTGACAACCACTCCCCACACTCCGATTTTTCTCCAGCAACTTGCCACTGAGTCACAGGATGGGGGAGGGGGGTGGGACATATTCCCTTTGAATGGGCTCTTTCTTATTTGGGGGGCGGAGATGGGGGGCGGAGAGTAGGCATAGTTTCCTCTCCCTATGCTGGGCTAGGCGGAGTGAGAAAGGAGCCTCGGAGGGGTGGGGTAGGTGAGGCTCCTGGTTAGGCAGAGAAGTGGCCCTGGGGATGCCTACAGGCGGGGAATCTTGGAATCTCCCGAGCCACAGCACTAGTAACAATTCTGGATTATCTGCCTGCTGGAATGGGATCGGCCCCCCACCCCACCCCAGGTCTGTAGCTCAGATCACTCCTGACACGGAGTGAGCTAAGCCCTTAGCCTTGAGGGAGGGAGCGGCTACACCCTTTGTGTTTTCTTCGGAAGGGAGTGTTTCTGGTACTCTCCCTGTGTTCTCCAAACAAGTGGCCCAAGACGGTGGAGCCTGCACTCTTTAGAAGCCCTGAGCGGGCTGGAGCACACTGGGCCACAGTGCAAATGCCAGGTGACTGGGGGTGGGAAGAGGTCTCCCAGCTCTGCCACTTGCTGCCTTAACTTCTGAATGAAGGCAGCTACTCAGAAGTTTCTCTGATTTTAAGAATTAAATTGAGGGAGGCTTGAGAGAGAATTTAGGTTGATATGATGAAATTCTGGTCTTTTCGTCCCAGATCCTAAGAGACCAGTCTCTGCCTTTGCCTGAAGACTAAGAAGAGCCGACATTTACCAAGCACTCACTACGTACTAGGCATCGTCTGGGTTCCCTACCTCCCACACTAACTCCTCGACCACCCTTCAAGGGGATTTTGTCGTGGCACTTTACCAAGGCCACACAGCCAGTCTGCTGGAGTGGGATTTGAACCTAGATGAGCTGGCATCCAGAACTCTCTTGGGCACGTTTGTCATTTTTGTGTATAGAGCTCTGATCGATGCCTAGCCAGGGTCATGTTAGGACCAGGCCTCCTAGGAAATGAGAGATAGAGCAGAAAAGTTTCTTTTAAGGAAAACAAAATGTTACAGTTTTGGAGAAGGGAGTGACAGCAGTGATTATCAGCTCTTCACAGCAGCGCTCTGGGTTTAAGATGGTGGGATGCTTGTTCCCCTTTTTCTTGGGGTCATAAATTCATAGCTGCCCAGGCCCCTTCCCACTCCAGGAGAAGTCAGGATCCAGTGAGTGACACTCTTCTGCCTTCTCTAGTCCTCTCTTCCAAAGAAGCCAGGCCTTCTAATCAAATGTCACCTCCCTCTTCCTCTTGCTAAAAGCAGTTTGGGAAGTCTGGAGGCAGGGGCAGCCAGCAGCATCGGGAGGGCCTTGGCTCACCCAAACTGCTTATTGGGGATCCTTATTTTCCCCAGTCAGGGTGGCAAAGGCTTCCTGGCTCTGCTGATGGAATCCTCAAAAGTTCTGCCGGCAAGGATGGGCTGAACCCCATAACAGCGTTCATTCTAGGGAAGCAGTTACAAGAGAGCAGCTGTGTTTGCCATGTGCCTAGAAATCTATGGGAGAGATGGGGTTGGGGCGGGGATGGGCATTGAGCAGGGCAGGTCTGGCCGTGTCCCACCCCAACCACGGACACCCAGTTTTGTGAGTGAGCCTGCGAGGAAGGGGTGCCACATAGCCCAGCACTATGGAAACAGAGTGAGGAGTTTCCTGGACTACTCTCCCTGTCCTGTGAGTCAGCACTACCAACTTCCTGCCCCCCTAGAGACCTGGAACACCAGAGTAGTTGACATGACCTTTGATCTCCAGGGGGATGCCAAGCTCACCTGGTCTCCAGGTGAGATTGAGTGAGGGTCTTCCAAGAGCCGGAAGGGGATTGAGAGGACCCCTGCCCCCCTGCCGTGGGTAGAAGGGATGCCCAGTGTCCTCATGTGCTGGGGAGATAGGCCATGAGGCCCCAGACGAGGGGGCTTTACTCTTTGGGGCCAGCTTTCTCATGTACAAAGGGGCCTACATCCCGTTTTCCCAGGGACTTGCATGAGGATTCATTACGAGGCCCAATTGGGCCTACGAAAGGTTGAGGAATATTCAGGATCTGATGACATATACCTTAGCTGGACCCTCTAGTCTGCAGACAAGGTTCCTGCTCCTGAGGGTATTTCTAGAAACAAGATGCTGTGTCTAGGCTTAGCATCCAGACTCCAAACCAGGGGCCCTGGATGTAGCACATGGTCAGCATCCAGCAGGTGCCCTTGAGCAGCGGTCTCCAACCTTTTTGGCAACAGGGACCGGTGCTCCCATGAGAATCTAACGCCTCATGATCTGAGGTGGAGCTGAGGCGGTGATGCTGGCGCTGGGCAGTGGACGCAAATACAGATGAAGCTTCACTTACTCACCCGCCTTGCAGCCCGGTTCCTAACAGGCCACGGACCGGTACCGGTCCGCAGCCCAGGGTTTGGTGACTCCTGCTGTTGAGCCAGAGGTACCTTCAAGGACCGTCATTTTGGCCATCTGTGCCTCAGTTTACCTCTCAATGAGAGGCTGCCAGGCTCGGCCTGACCCGGTCCCCTGCAGAACCGTGGCAAGCACACATGGCAGTCTTGGTTTGCTGGGGAGGGCAGGCTGTAACGTTAGCCTAAGCAGAAGATAATTGGGAAGGTCAGCCTGCTGCCGTCAACAAAATGCTTTCCACGACCTGGGATCAATTATTTTTGGATTATCTGCCTCCTCAAGTTCTCTGCCCGCCAGCACCCTTTTGTTCCCAGGTTCCAGAGCGGGTTCAGAAGTTGCTTGGAATTTCTATGAAAATGAGTTGGAAGGAAGAGCTCAAATCATAAGACGTTATTGAGCCTCTATGACGTATTCGAAGTCCAGGGGGCATGGAGATGAGTACAAAATTACTATTACGACTCATAGTGCTAAATACTAATAGTCATCGTTGCTGTTTTTGATTGGGCCCTTGTGAGAGGCTCAGCGTTGTGCTAAGTGTCCTACTTGTACCATCTCTTGTGATCTTCACACAACCTGGTGAGGATTGAATGACTTGCCTGACGTTACCTGGCTGGTAAGCGACAAAGCCCTCTGGTGTAGCCCCATTGCTGTGGGAGAGGAAGCGTGGGAGAGTGATGGGGAGGCTCAGGTATTTTTGACCAAAGTAAGAATGAGGACTCTGAAACCAGACATCTTGGGTTCAAATCCTGGCTCTTCCACTTACGACTGTGAGATCCTGGGTAAGTCACTTAATGCCTCTCCGGGCCTCAGTCTCCTCGTCTGTAAAATGGGGATAATAGTAGTTCCACCTTCATAGGATGGGGTGAGGATTCATTGAGTTAGTAGAGATAGTCCCCAACTTAAGATGGTTTGACTTAATGGCTTTTTTGACTTTATGATGGTGCAAAAGTGATATTCAAAATAAATTACACAGGATATTCAACATTTTATATAGGCTTTGTGTTGGATGAATTTGACCAGTGTCGCTAATGTAAGTGTTCTGAGCACGTGTAAGGTAGGCTAGGGTAAACTATGATGTCCAGTAGGTTAGGTGTATCAAAAGCATTTTTTGACTTCCAATGTTTTCAACATACTATCATTTTATTGGGATGAAACCCCATTGTAAGTCAAGGAGCCTCTGTATTTGCAAAGCACTTAGAATGTACCTGGCCCAGCCATCAAGGAATCTTGCTCACCCTTGGAACATGGTGTTGGGACTGCATTTATAAGGGTTAACTGATCTAGAAGAATGTGATTCCAGCTAAGCCTTGAGGGTGGTAGAGTTAGGGCTTAGGAGGAGAGCCCTCTGATCAGAGGAAGTGTGGGGAACAAAGTTTGTGGGAAAGGCAGAAGGGCTGGTATGGTTGAAGTTCAGGGTCTGTGAGAAGTAGTAGAGAAAAATGAATCGAGCCAACAAGATGGCACAGGGCATTGACTGGCTGGCTGGGAAATTTGAACTCTTGTATAGGCAATGGGGAGCCATAGAAGGTTCTGGAGTGGAGGAGTTACATGATGAATTCTAGAATAATGTTGATGATGTTACTATTTACTAAATACTAGGCATGTGCCTGGACCTTCTTCTTCGATTCTTATTGAATCCTTAAAACAGCTATAAAGGTATGTACTGTAGGTAGGAGAACTAAGGTTCATAGAGGTTATGATCACCCAGCTAGTAGAATTCAATCAAGCCCTGGTCTGCCTGACCTGGAGCCTTTGCTACTCAACTACTGTCTCCCCACGTCCCTGCAGCTGGTCAGTCACTGGGCCTTTGAAGTCTTCCAGATGTCCAGCTCTGGGCTGTGTAGAAATGGAATTTTGCTGAATGCCCCAGGGAAACGGTGCTCCCTGCCTAACTGAGAAGCCTTTTTGTAAGTGCCTTAGGCACATTTCTGGAATTTTCAGCTTGGATCTGTGTTGAGCTCTGCTGGTCGCTGGGTCCAGGGCTGGTGAAAGAGGACTCAGGCTTCCCAAGGGGCCACTGTGGTAATCGGGGTGGGGGTGGGGATTC